GTCGCTGAGGTACAGGGTGGATGTAAGGCATTCAGCGCTGGGCTGAATCCTTTGTAAGTGCCCATAAATAGTAGATATCATTGTTACACTGCTTAAAATAAACAGCTCTCTACAGGACACTCCGCACTGGTGAGTGTGTCAATCTGGACCCCTAACCATTCTATAAACTCCACACCAGGCCTGGGCACTTAGAAGAGACTAGGTTCACAGCATAAGCCAGAGGTTCTCAAAGTGTGATTCAGAACCAGCAACACCACTATTACAGATTCTCAGTCCCGACCCCAGACCCATTGCTCAGAAATTCTGAGAATGGGAGCAGCCCTCAGGCTCTTCTGGAACAGTTTCTAAGATTTTCTTACAGTAAAAGCTGGCGTCATGCTGACATACTCTCCCCAATCCTGAAATCTTGATCCAATAAAGGACCTTTAATGGATCCTTTTGAAATACTCTGTTTCATATTATTTAATTTTCTGGTACATTACGTGTTAATGATTCTCCTGAGTAAAATTACATTAAATTGACAGGCAGCAATATGTTTATCATTTGTTGAAAATTGTTTCTACCATTTTAACTTAAATTATATTAACTAGATGAAAATCCATAGAAATTATCTTAAGAAAATTCAGACAGACATTCACAGTTCTGCTGCTTCCCTGGTTGATCAATGGACTGAGCTAATATAGAGAAGAGTTCATCCTGTTACTACATTGATTGAATTAAAAAGCATTTTGAATACAAGGGCGAAGGTTGATTGACTTACAGAACTAGAGCCCCATTTCAGGCTTAAAAATGGAAGGTGGGGATGGAAGAAAAACACTGAAAGGTATTTGACAGGGGAAAACTGTATTCCCCAGACCACCATGTTAAGCAGCTCGCCAACAACACAAAGGGGAAGACAAATAAATTGGAGGTTGTGCGAATGTCACAAGACTAGAATATAAATATGTGTGTCATGGAGAGGAGTGAGTGCCAATAATTCTCGTTCTCACAAAATGTTTAGGGTGGCACCTCCCAGCTATGACAGAATGCAAAGGAAGAAGCTAATATGTAAATAAGTCTCAAAACACTGGCCTTGTGTCCACTTGCTCATAGTCCCAGCCCTTCCAAGACACCTAGCAAGTTCAACAGGAAATGGACTTAGCATTCAGAGAGGACTTCAACTTGCCTGGTTAACTTTCCAGCTCAGGGGAGAGAAGGCAGACTTCATCCTGTACAGTCACAAACTATCTTTCTGCAGAATGTGGAATTCAGGACTTTGGTTTTCTCTTTACAGTAAGCAAACTGTAGAAACACACATCTAAAAACTCTCTGTTCCATTCAAAATAATCACCTCAGCGTTCTGTTGTCAATGTCACAATGCACCTGCACGTGGGCTAAACCTCACCACTCTCTTCAAGGGCCTACTGCCTTCTGAGCACTGATTTTCAGTGACACTCACTCATTTTTCCCTCGGCTCTTGCTCTGTGACTCCACCAGCCTCTTCAGGTCTGTGTGTCTGGTCCAGCTAGGACTTCTGGAAAGCTTCACTTAATAGCATGTTTCCTGCTCCGTAGGTCTCCCCTTCACCAAAGCTAATAGGAACTCTGGCCCAGAAGCCAGGAATTCTGGGCCAAAAGGTCTGGCAGGTCTTACTCCTCATTAATGAGAACTCCCCTTCCTTGCCTCGGAAGCCAGATCACCATGTCTTCCTGGCCATCCAGGTCCTGCCAGCTCAGACCCTTAGTCTGGCATGAGAAGTCTAGCTTCCTCCTCAATGGCCATAAAGTCTTCAGTATGAAGTGTTCAGAAAATACTACTCTTTTATAACATGCTTACACTCGACACCAATGAACTGTCTGATAAAAACACGTTGTTACACCATGCAATGCTGTAGGTAAGAAAATGAAATACTCCCCTTCCTTAGCCTATCAAGCCCTATCACCTGACTCAGAAATTAAAACATGCTGAATGAATTGAAGCTGTATAGCAAATACCGTACACAAGGACCTGGCACTGAGCTTTCAAAAAATCTGGAAGGATAATCAGCTTAGTAACTTAGATATGGCATTTGCACAACCCAAATTATAAGAAGCATATTCAGGAGGCTTTTGATCAAGGGATCAATAAATGCAATGGGCTCCTTTCTGTTGTCACCAGAGTCTCCGGATGGCTAGCATTTCCTACAGTTCCATTGGCTTCATGTGAACTGTGACTAGCAAATCCTTATCTCCAGACCTCACTCCTGAACTAGGCCCACAGGGCTGAGGTTAGTCCATGTGGGACCCTCTTCAGTTCTGCTCCTCCTCTTGTGTCTCTGTCTCCCGAAACACGAGCATTACCCATCTGGCCTCTCAAGTCAGGTAGGCAGCTAAGCCCTGTCCAACCCCTCCGTCTCCTTCAGCCTTACATCTGATGGATCCAGCCTCCTCACTGTCTCTCCATCTCCACCCCAACCTGAGCTCAGGCACTCATCATTTCTCCTTGCTGGTCTTCCCTCCCCAGTTACTGCACCCACGCTTCACAGCAGGACCACTCTAAAAGGCTGTTGATGGTGCCCTAGAACGCGTGCTCTGCACTCACCCGTGTTTTTCCTCTCCCAGGGCACACTCTGCTCTGAATACATCTCCTTGCTGCCTCCTTCCAGCTAATTTCTGCTGCTCTTCAAGACCCATCTTTCTTCAGGAAGTTTCTCCAAGTCTCCCACAGTTACCCCTTCTGTGTATTGCTACAGCAGTGGTGGTTTTAATTCCTCCATTATATTGCAGCTTCATTCTCCTGTCTTCCCCCCTGGAACGAGAGAGACTTGAGGCTGGATGGAAGGATGTTTTTTCATCCTCAATTCCTAGTCACACGATAGCATGGCTTCTGGCTGTTTTACATCTAGAATGAGGTTCTGCCCTTCTGTGCAATGTCTTGCTTAGGAAACCAGGCTCAATGAGGGCTACAAAGAAGTGGTTATGCTGAAAGGGGAAATTTTATTCAGGCAGAGGCACTAAACCTGTTTTTTCAAAGACTCTGAAGTTAGGCCTGATTATTGGAATGTGTCTCTCATAAGAACAGGGAGGAAAATCTTGGCAATTGCCAGTTTCTGCACAGCAGCCTCTGGGGACAAAGATAATTACACAGGCGAAGTACTGGCCCTGTGCTCTTGCAGGCAGGATCTAAGTAGGGAGCACAGGCCTGCTCTTCAGGATATAACATTCCCTACAGAAGCAAGTTTGGGTTCATCTGTCTGTTTTGCTGTCAACAAACAAAAAAGAAGGTCTTTCTTCTTCCGTTTCAGTTCCGTAAATTCTTAGTGTGAGAATACACAGCAAGTTCCTACAGGTTTAAGGGCTTCAGTCCTGATTTAGCAATGTCAGTCTCATTGCAGGCTGCATTCAGACAATTTTAGTATCACTGCCTGCCCCATGTGCTCAGTTTCAGAAGCCACCACGCTCACAGGCTGCGTCTCTCACTGGAAATGTGTCCACTGCTATTCAACTGTGCAGACAGCCCAATGGTGGGAAACCCCACAAACAGCCTGTCCTACAAGAAGGCTCTGCTTTGCTTCATGGTCCAGTAGAAATCTGAACCATGCTGAGGAATCTGAAACCTGGCTGAGGGTACAGGCAGCTCATGAGTGTGTCACTATGTGTGTGGATAGGGGAGAAGTGTGACTTCAAATGCTGTTAGCTCTATAAGTTGCCAGCTCCACCGCCCTAACAGGGTTTGTCTGTGGTAGGAATTACAAACATTATCAAACCTGTTGTTTGCTAAGTGACTCTCAAGCACCCTTCCAATATCCATGGCGAGGAGAATTGTGCAATTCTGTTGCTTATGCTTTCTGTCTTGAAGGGGAGAACTTTATCGACATTTTAAGCTTTTCAAAATTGAGCGTGCACAAATATGCTTTGGTTAGAAACTTTAAATCCGTTTTTGAAACTTTAGCTTATGAAAAAAATACAGTTTGTCTAACAAATCAAGTACATTCTGCACTATCTGTCCTGACACCCTGTCCATCATCCTCGCTCAGAAACTCAGGGGTCTCTTTCCATTTCTTCCTGTCCAGGCCTCTCTCGTTGGTCATGCAATAGCCAGGGTCTATCAGTTCTGCTTTCACTACACCTTTCTTCTCCACCTCCTCCTCTGAATGTGCCTGCACCCCTGAGCTCTGCTGCACTGAATATAGGAAGCTTGCCCAGATTAAAACTTAGTTCCTCATGGCCAAGCCATCCAACACCACTGCTCACCTTCCTCACATATGTCTCAAATCACCTCATTGCTCTGCGCGAGAATTTTCAAGGAAGCTGCACTACTGCTGGCATCAACCCTACACCCACAGTCTTCATCCTTCCATTTGTACCCCACATCTTGTTAATTCAGTGATGGTGTAGCATTTGTGCATCACTCTGTCATTCCAGCCTCTGTGCAGTTGCTCATGCAGCTGCTTTTCACCCGATTGCATTTGGTCCATTGCTCGCCCACTTTGTGCCTCTGCACCCTCATTTACGCTATGTGGGTCACACAGCACCTGCTTTACAGGGTTTTGTGATGATTAGGACACCTCAGCGCATAACATGTTTTGTAAATGTGAGTGCTCATTGTTATACTGTTCAAGACCATTTTGAATCACTTCTTGAATGAAACCTTTTATATCATCCAATTCAGTTTCTTCCTCATTTTGTACTTCTTTGAATACATTTGACATCCAATGCCCTGCCTTAGAATAGTATGCACGTTTATTTTGGCCGGTACTGGATTAATGACTGATTGAAGTTGGAAAGTCATTGGATATACCCTGAAGTACCTCATAGCACCTGGTACACAAAGGAACTATTAAGTCCCTTTTAAGTTGAAATAAACTGATTTTACTATTTTAAAATCTGTTCCACAAATTGAGAAAAAATACAGCACATAAAGATAAGTAAAATGGAACAAACAGCTTGGGAACATAGATGTCACTGGAGAACGACAGAGACTGATGTCATCAGAGTCACGACGCACCCTGATAACAACCTTTATGCTGTGTTCTCCCACAGGTCTGCTTGGTAGCCTATCTTGGTTTGTTTATGCTCTGTGTCTCATATCAAGTTGATGAACGGACATGCATCCAGTTTTCTATGAAAGTAAGTTGTTATTTTTCTTCTTCATTGCACAGAAAGAAACACAAGTACAAAATGACAGAGTGCTTTTTAAGAGGTTGCATATCTGATAAGTCTAGAAATTACATTTTCAGGAGCCCAAAAAATGTTTTAGGAGGGCATTGGCCCAGACCCAGAGGTAACGCTAATCTTTTCAAAGTCTTAATTTCCATGAACTGGGCTGGCCTGGAGCACATGAAGTGTGTCCTCCACTGCCCTTAAAAGGAGTACGGAACATTCATCAGCTCAACAAAGCACTTGGCCAGGGAAAGGTGTCTCTCTTGGTGCCCACTTCCGTATCTTGGGGCTGCTTGGAACATTTTAATAATGAAGCAATTTAAGTGCATTTCCCCTTGTGGGTGGGATCACTGGGGCAGAAAAGGTACATTGGGTGCATGCAGTGACCTGAGCCAAGCGTCTGAAGGCAACGGTTGGGAAATGCTTGGTTTGGCGAGTGTATGTGTCTTTCGTTTATGTGAAGTTTTTCTCCTTTGGGGACAGTGCATTTGGTTTTAGTCGATTCAAATGCATAACATTTTCACTGAACACTGTGATATTCCCCAAAGAGAAACAGAGGCTCCCCTTTCAGAGTTTAAGAACATAAAACACAGAACTGAGCAGTTAGAGCTGTAGAAATCAAATTCCAACATTTGCTCCGAACTACTAACAGAGAATACAAAGCTCTCTCATCTTTGGTCCACTCACAGCCAGCTCTTCTATAAGAAAACGTACAAAGACTGGATATCTTTTTGTCCACTCTAACAAGAACACATAGGGCATAAGAGTAAGTCAACAATGTTTATGTGGAATAACTAAGTTTAAAAAATAAGATGTTAGAATATTTTAGTAAACCAAGCATACCTTACTCATGGATTTATTACACACAGTCTTGACCACGTGTGGTCATAATAAATAAATGAGTGAGTAAATAAAAATCAAAAGAAGCTTCAAAGACACAAATTTAAATTCCCCTGTGCACATTCTGCAGCTCAGTGGATATGGACATGCTCTCTGTCAGTCCTGTGTTGCTGTCAGCTGTACTTAAATGATTGTGCGGTCTGTTGAGTATTTCCCAACCTTCATTTTGTGAAAATATGTCTCTCCAAAAGCAAACAGTGCTCCAAAATGCAAGGTGAAAATGATTGCACATAATTTAAGTGATAGAGTTAAAATTTGAGATTTGTGGAAAGCCTGTGTCTTCAGAAGTTGGCAGTGTTAGGGGAAAATGAGTCAGGCATCTGCAGCGCAGAGATGAGCTCTGTGCATCCTGAGCCTGTGGTGCTTCCTCACGGTGGAACCAGAAACCAGGGATATTCTGCATCCATTGCATAACCGAAGCTGCTGGCATAAAAAACAACGTGTGATACTTTTTAAAATCATGCTGTAGGAAAGAAGTTAGTGGAATTTTTTTTTAAGTTCACACCATAGTAGTTAATGAAAAAAGCAGGTTACACAAAATGGACAGCAGAGGAAAGACACTCTTTTACCATGTGTAGAACAGTTACGTCCGAGGAGGCCTTACAGCAACATTTCAGTTTTTCCCCAGTTTTGAAATGATCTCTAATAGTGCCACATAGCTTTACTAATTAAAAAAATAATGGATGCTATTTTTAAAAAGGTTGCTGAGAGTTAGGTTTTTGGTGCAGATAGTTACATTTGAAAAGAACTTCCAAAATTCCTTTTGTCAGGACTTTCTTGAGAAGAAGGCTAGGGCACACAAGTTCACTTTTTTCTTTGGTCTGACTAAACAAATCTCTGAGATGGAGGGGGAAAAGCCAGAAATCCAGTAAGAAATGGGCTGTTAAATTATAGAAACTTCATTCAGTAGGCAGATTTTCATCAGCGTGTGTGAAATGCTCTTCCTCCTCCACCTCCAGCATCCCAGAACAGCAGAGGTGAAGGCCTTGCTTTCAGAGCACCCAAAGGCATCTCAACAGCAGCATCTTAGTCACAAAGGAGCCAGGGGGAAGGAGAAAAGGAAGAAGTCACTGCGGTGTCAGCCAGGTAGAGAACTCCCTACCAGGAAGGTCTCATTAGCAGCCTGTTTTTCCCACCTGTGACAGACATTGACAAACACGGAGGCTCTGTCTCTTCTCCTGAATGTGACCTCTAGTGCTGCTGTGCCAGCCATGTTGGCCCCACAGCATCTTTGGGCCCAAAAGGAGCTGGGGGGACGGGGGTTCTGTGTTTCTCAGCAGCCCCAGTGGGGTGCCACCCACTTCCCCTGTGCTTCTCAGACTATTCCTGGGGGGGCAGGAATGCCATGCGGTGTTTCTCACCACAGGACTGCACTGTGGTGGCCCAGATTGGCACCTGGCCCAAGCTCTGTGTGAAAATTTATTTTCTCCTTCTGGGTGCCCAGATAGCCAGGGCAAAGCCAGGTGATGGTGACATTCTCCTAATACAAAGTGTTTCTCCCTCCTCCTGACAGGCTCTAGGTGCCACCAATGCTTTCCTGGGGTTTGGCGGGTCATTTGGCTGTGGCCCTTGCCTCCCACCTGACCCTGTGGCCCTGAGTTCTCAGGGCTCTCCAGGATTTTCAGAGAGACACAAGGATGGGAGGCTCCTGCATCTGCATCTGCAAAATCCATCCCCCTCCTTCCCTCTCTCACTTCCTTCTCCTCCCTCCATCTCTTTCTCCTCTTTTCCTCCCCCTTTCCCTCTGTGTCTTTCTCCCTTCTCCCCACTCTCTCTCCCTCTCCTCCTCCTCTCTCTCTTTAAGAAAGGTGCTGGGCTCCTGCACCTGCAGAACCTACGCTGACCCCTCCCTTCCTCCCCACTTCCAGGCCCCTCCTCATTTTGGCCACCCAGATAGGATGGCAATGACATAGTAGCAGAAGCACCCTCCACCCCAAATCTTGGGTACCAGCTACAGAGAGGTGGGGAGGAGCGGGGACGCCTGCCTCATTGCTTAAGCCAGCTTCATCTGCTGCAGGGCTGGAATATGGTGATATGACAAGACTGATGCCTTCACGCCCACTGTTTTCAGGATGCATTTGCTTGGATTTCCAAGTCATCAAACACAAGTTCATTGATAGTTTATTCATGCCCTGTAGCCATTTGATTATAAGTTATGGATTCTGACCTAGGTGCTGGTTGCTGCCAGACAGATGACTTAAAAGCCACGAGGGGAAAATGCTATCCTGTGCAGATACAGCCCACAGGCTATGGGGGATCAAGTACACATTTGTGATCAAAAGTGGATGGAAACTTGATTCTGTTGCTTCTTCCTGTTTACTGAGGTTTCCTGAGTGGGAGAGGCCAGTCACTGTGGGTGAGACATTGTTATGTAAACTGAAACATATTCAGAGGAGCGGAGGGCCATGGATTTTCTTTGTGCTTTTGCTGGTTTCTAGCGTCTTTAAAAAGCTCCACTGAAAGTGAGCAATCACCATGGTTTTGTAAATGTTGCCATCCTTTCTACAAGCCAAGTATGCATTGATGCTCCCCGGTGACAGAAAATAAGACAAAGACTAGAGCCGTAATAGGCTGAGGACTGTAGAGTGGTTCTGCCCTCTCAATTAACTTGCTTGTTTAGTTCACAAATACCTAAATAGTGCACTGTACTAAGCCCTTTGCAAATGTCGACTGTCTTCATCTTTATAATAACCCTGTAAGTCAGTGTCAGGACCATCATTTCAAGGTACAAGTGAAGAAATGCAGGTACACATTGACTGATGAATTTGCACAAGGATCACTGCTAGTAAGATAAACCAAACCACCTCCAGCAGTCCATGATCGGAACCGTCTTAACCATACTGCTGTGTGCTTCTTAAAGGTCCTGGCAGATCTTTTAATTGAAGAGTCCAAAAGTAATCTTTTAAAATTAGGCAAAATTCCCATTTCCAGCAAATGGACTTTTGCCCCCAGTGAGTGGAATGGAAATCTGTTGTTCAAGAGTGTGTGTGCGTGCGTGCGTGTTGAGGGTAGAGGGTAGTAACAAGATCTCCCAGTTGTATCCATTGATGGCAGTAAAATGTATAGAGGGGCCATTCTACTAAGCAGATGACTCCCGGTAGGAGTGACCACTTTAACTTGAGCCTGTCCTACTGTAGTCTTGATATTCCCAAAACAAAGAGCTCCCAGATCTCTGCTGGCAATAAGGTGAACACAGTTTCACTGGGTGCTTATGCACAACATGGCAGCTCAATTGAGCTCTTGGCACCGAGAGTTTAAAGTCAATCATCAAACCTGAATATTTCAGAATAACCTAGAATGTTTGTAACTACTCTGTCCTATTAGCCACACAGAATAAATTCATATTTTAAAGCCTAAACACTCTAGTTTTATATAAAATGTAGTCACTAAGTATACTGGGGACAGAACCAAAACACTGCTTTCAATATTGTAAATTTTTTAATTTTATAATGCTGACACTTTGTATTTATCTGGTTCCTTTTCTCCAAGGAACACTAACTATTTCCAATACAAATTATCCTTGTTTTGTTTCTAGGATATAAGATGTTTGGACAAATTGTTTCATAGTTATCAAAAGGGTTACATATGACAACCCTTTGAATGGTTTGAAAAGATATCTTTGAAGAGTCAAAGAATTTGAATCTTCCTTGGTGAAGATGCATGTAGGTATACTGAGACAAAAATGGCTGTATGCAGTTCCACTCTCTTCCAGGGACCTCAGATAAACAGCCAAGCTGTATGTGATCTCTGATCAATTCCCTTACAGCAAACCAGAAACTCATGCAATCATACGCAAACCCAAAATCACACACACACACCAAGTCAGACTTGAACACTTGATATTGTCCCCATGTGGAAAGTCACTCATTTAGAGGACTTTCATACACATATTTTATAGTTGCTTCTATAAGTTTTTATCTTAAATTACATATAATTGGAGTTGAAGGGAGGGTGTAATCTTTTCTGAGCTACTTCACCAATCTTACCTTGGGATTATAAGGGACCTGAATGGCCCCTTATAAGGAGCGACTTTTGACTATGGTGACACAAATCTTGCACTACAAATGGTGAGCATTGGTCCCAATGGCTTTGGAGCTGGATCCTTACACCTCAGCAGGGGTCTGCTAAGAGACACATTTCCAGTGAGTCTAATCACAAGAACAGTTCTTGTTCTGCTCATCAGATTTCATTTTAGCCAGGTCAGTGAGTACCCACAATTTTTGATCAGAATATTCCAGCTGTAGGTAGGCTAAATGATTCAATCATTAATGGATTCCATAGTTCCTTTCGAAGCCGAGTTAGAACTTTAACCAGACATCTCCAGTCCTGAGTGTTCAGAGCCAAAGTGATGGCGGAGCCATTTCTTGCTCAGGAACTTAGGGTAAGTCTCTCAAGAGATGAGCTGACCCCAAGTCACTGTCTTCTGGAGCCTAAATTGTTTTCCTCCAGCAACCTATTGCTGAGATTCCTGGCACCCATATTTGTTGGCAGTTTGGTAATCACTACGTTCAACATGGCCTTTTTTAATCAACCTATATTGTTAGCTATCAATTCCTGATAACTTTGGCCAGCACAGTGTCTGCATTACAGAAACCTGTTCTTTACTTCCTATCTTGTTTCAATCTTACCATCAGCTGTTCTTGATTTCAAAATAAGTGAACCATGTCACCCAGGGATAGCTATCTTCTGTGGGATTCATTGAAACTGCCCTAGACATGAATATCCCAGAGTCAAGTTAATATGACTGGTGCAATTCATGAGAAGGGCCCAACATCTGTAAGGCAAATGGAGATGTGATCAGGGTTTAAGAATTTCCCACTAATAAACATGAAGTTATTTCCATGTCCTGGGCACTGTGTTCTGAGGAGAGACAGCCCTTCCATCAAAGAGAGAGGAAAAAGCAGTACCACTAATTAAATTAGCTTTGCAAATGCCCCTCCGCTGTTCCCTGTAACCAGGAAGGTTTCCTTCTCTTCTTGCAGCTCTTCTATTTCCTGCTGAGTGCCCTGGGCCTGATGGTCTGTGTGCTGGCCGTGGCCTTTGCTGCCCACCACTATTCACAGCTGGCACAGTTCACCTGCGAGACCATCCTGGACTCCTGCCTGTGCAAGCTGCCATCCTCTGAGCCGCTCAGCAGGACCTTTGTTTACCGGAGTGTGACCGACTGCAGCAGCATCACCGGCACTTTCAAACTGTTCTTAATCATCCAGATGGCTCTGAACTTGGCCTGTGGTCTTGTGTGCTTGGTGGCCTGCTTTGTCATGTGGAAGCACAGGTACCAGGTCTTCTATGTGGGTGTCAGGACATGCTCCTTCACCACTTCCCCAGGCCAGCGGCAGAAGGTCTAACCTCCAAAGTCTAACGGCACACTGATGGCTGGGGCGAAAAACAACATTTTCTTTTTAAAAGAAATGTTTGACAATAAATGACTAGTCACTGCTTTAAATGAATCTTTTCATATTTTTCACACCAAAAAAAAGAGCATTTCTTCAGGTTTCTATAGTATTTTAAAAATATTCTTGCGAGGAAAACAAAAGCCAAGTTGATTTGGGGAATATAAAAACATGAAAAGAACATTGAACAGGGAAAGAGTGATGTAGATCTGTCTTCACGGTCTGGAGTTACTCCTAGCACTCATTTTCACACTACTTATACAGCCTCTCGTAATCCAGTTTGGCCATGTGAACTGGCATCTCAGGCCCACTTAGGAGACTATGTAGTGTTTTCCTGCCCTTCCCACCAACCGCTATTATCTTGGATGAAGGCAGAGTAGGGAACAGATGAATCTCCATGTTGAATCTTTTGCTTCTCCTGGTAGAGATGTCTTCAAGGTATGAAATAGCTTTAAAAGGCAGAGTAGAAGAGGAAGAGGCTTTGCAAACACCTGGGCCAGGGTGGCAGCTTTCAGCTGCTCTACTTTGGCTCTGTGGAGGGATCACTTGATTTGGATGATTGTCTGTTTCTTGATAGTTGAAAGGTGGTGGTAGGTGTATTCACAATGATGTAGAAGTTTAAAGATAATTACATTATGCTTCTATTCTGCCGTCTAAAACAAACCATCAAAACTAATTCCTAGCTAATTGTTAATTATAATTATGCTCAGAAGTCTATTTAATGAGCACTGGCTGTGCTTAGGCAGGTCTTTCAGTGTTCAGAGAAATTGTCTCACAAGAGTAGATGCTAAAGATCCTTTTCTTTGGAAGCTAAGCACCACAAATTTTTTAAAAATCAATACTCAGGTTAAAAATACTCAAACAAAAATAAGAGTATTTGTCAGAGGAAATGTTTATACAAATAGCACATTTGTGGCATGTTGAAAATTTACCTCTTTTGGCAAGCAAGTACCTTTGAGGAAGACTGGGTGCTGCTGAGTTCTATTCATAAGCCTGTAACTGATATGTGATCCTGTTACTGATGGTATGCTCACTCAACCTAGTGACTGAAAGTAATGTTTTGAAGTCTTTCTTGAGCAGTAAATCCATGGACTGGGAGGGTAGCTTTGGTTTTCTCATTTTTATTATTATTATCATATTATTGTTGCATTGGGAGTGCATTGTGACTTTTACAAAAGCTCTTACAGTATGTCACAATTGAATTCACCCCTCCATAATTCTCCTTTATCCCCTCCCCCTATTTCATTTTGTTTTTGATCCACCAGGACTTAAGGCACAAGTACCCTATGATGGGTGACTTTACTGTAATTATTAAATTCTGAACAATATCAATGTTTTAAGGAAGGGCTCAAAGTGGAAATTCATGCAGCATAAATACTATATAGAATTTCTGTATTAGGAGGCTCTACTCAGAGACATTAAAGATAACAATTGGGTTTAATTTGCCTGTTAACATCCTCTCCGAATCATGGAGTTCTACCTGAAAAGGAAAGCATGTTGTTGTTTGCCTTTGAGGATAGATGCATGATTCCAACTATGGTGACAATGCTGCCGATTTCTGCATGACATGAATATCCAAATAAGACAATAAGGTGAAGGATTACAGCTTTTATGTCCTCCACATAAAATACCTGATTTACACATGTTAAAACTGTGTGATGTTTTGACTTGCTTTAAAAATGACCATCCTACAAGTTAGCTCAGGCCAAGAAGGAACATTGGGAACCTAGTGGATAAAACCTGGAGCAGGATTAATCACACACAAAATTACATCAGTACACTCCAAGCCTCCTGATGGTGACCTGAGAAATCCTTTGTGCCTATTAAGAATAACAAAATCCATTTTTGTTTTTGTTTCCTGCATACAGGAGAAACCATTGGAGAATCTGCCGTGTTGTAGGCTATCCTTCCAAAAGTAAGAAGTAGTGCGTTACTGCTAGTTACCATGAATAGGGAACACAAGAGTTTTAATGTTAGAAAATTGGGATTCTCCACATCATGAAGGTGCTGCATGCTTTACAAATGATATACAGGGTATTTTGAATGGCAGAATAACTTTAGTTTGTATGCTTTTTTTTTAAATTAACACAAACAAAAGGTTGACAAGTTTGATAACAGTATGTGTAGCAGTGGGTGTACATATAGCATTTTATATATATACATGTATATGGATTTTGCTTTTATGTGAGCAAATCATTCCTAAACTCTTAAAGAGAGAAAAAGTTGTCAGTGAACAGAGGGTAGAAAACAAAGTGAAAGACAGAAAAGTTTCCCTCACCCCAACCTCACTCTACATTGATGTGTGTAAGAACTGTGTTGCATGATTACGAAACTGCTTTGGGCTAGATTTGAAGTATTTTCATGTTATGTTTTGCAAATATTGAAGTTACAATAAGGCAACAGAAAAGGAACAGATACACAGCTTTACACTTAGCAAATGTTACACTCAAAATCTGACAAGGAGCCAGGATGGTGACTATCTCTTCAAAACCAAAAAACAGTAAGATTTGTGCAACCCTCCTCGCCCACCTCCTCCAGGAGAATTAAATGAATTGAGACTTTGGAAAGAAGGGAGCAGCAGGACTTGGCAGAACTTGAAATAGGAGGAACACAGCAGTCTGAATGTGCAGACTTTGTAACTGAGCCCACTCAATCGGTCTGTGCCTTCACGTGACCACCATCTGTGCCTCCCTTGCTCCATCCAAATTTGTGTAGGCAGTGCCTTGGAGCCGGGCCTAAAAATATAGCTACACTGTGGCCCTAGAAACTGTTGTCAAGTAGGGGCCTCACTGTTTTTCCCTTTTTGGATTGAAAGTGTAGATGTCTTCCGAAGGTCATCCAGATGCACACACCAGTGTGTCATTCATTCTGACTGGTACAAGCCATTGTACATGTGCTTTCTGTCATGTACTCCTGACTTTCCTCCTCGGGTGCAGTATATCTGGAATACGTTTATGAGGTTGTAGAAAAGCCTGGGGTCCAAGTAACCATGGCATGGTTACTAAGATCATGAAATAAACTTAAAAACTGTCCAGCAAAACCCATCACGTGCAAATGTGAACACACCATTAACATGTCCCAGTGATTGTCTTCGCACTATTGCTATGTGGCCAGACATTTCTGAAAATCTGGTGGCTATCAGTTTTTACTGTTCTCAAAAATCTCCACCATGTTTTTACATGTACTTTGTATATTCAGGATAAATGATGGCCAAATACATTGATTCACAGTGGAAACATTCATTTGGATGAAAACTCAGTGGTTCAGCCTTTAAAACAAATGCCTGGCCTCATGTCTTCTGATCACCCAGTACTTTATTATCTCAAAAGACAATTATCATAAATAATGATATTTATTATTTCAAAAATATGGTGTGTGTTTTGGTGTTATGGTTTCATTCTTTTGGCTCAAACAGCTAGTAGAAAATAATGTGTTTCTACAAAATTGAGGTGATTGCTTATAAGGAACACATGTGTAATGCAGGTTTTCTGTATTAATAAATTTTTCATAATCCCTGAAGTCATGGTGTTGGTGTGTACTTTAAAGTGAATGCTTGATGCACCCGAAGTGGTGTACACAAAATTGTCCAGGTTAGTGTTTACTTAAAAATTCTGGCTTGAGAATAGTCAAGAGGCAACATTCCTTTGACTTTGTCGTCCCAGGCACTGATCCTATTCTGGGAGTTGGCATCCATCCTAGAGATCAAGGTCATAATCACTCCCCAAGCAAAGTCTGAGCTGCAAAGATTCCTTGAAAGGTACCTGGGACACTGATACTTAATTTGTATCACTTGATATCAAATAAAGCTTGACTTAAAGGATCAGATAAATGCTGAATGTCACCTGTTCAATCACATTCTGCGCTCACTTGTGTATAAAAACAGATGGCTTTTCCATTTCAAATCTTAATTCAAGGACCTCCTCTTGCCAGCTCTGAGCAAGTCATTTCAAAGAGTTAATTATTCTTAAAAATGCAGAGGCTCTATATACTCTGGTTTCTCTTCAGATCGTGTAAATCTTTCGCCTTTTAAAATGCAGAGGCTCCTTTTGTTTAGTGATGGGGAGGAGTAATACCTGGGACACACTCAGCTTAGTGGCAAGGCTGTAGGTCCCAGGTTGGAAGTACACCTGCCATTTATGGCTGTGTGACTCTGGACAGCTGTCTGGTTTTTAGTTTCCTCCCAGGTAAAAGAGAGAAAACTGTAATTGCCTCACAGCATGGTGAGGAAGGTTCCATGAGATAGCACTCAGCAAAGACGCCAACCGATCGTAGGCTTCATACAAGTCGGGTTCTTCCCTCGGTGGCTGGTTCTACACAGCCATGTCTCTTGGTGATACAGACTCTGGTCCCCACATCAAACTAGAAAAGCACTCTATTTTGCTCTAGCTTTTGGTGGCACCTTTTTCATAAACAAGTCACATTATCAAATGGTCCTTAGACGTTCTGCCTTTGAAATAAGGCAGCACCAACTGTCGTTGCTAGACATAGGATGCACAGAATTTTGTGTCATTTGGATCCTCATTTGTTGACTTCCATGTGTGCATGTTTTTTAATGTGTCCATCTTCTCTCACTCCTCCTAGGCAGAAGTAGAGCCTGAAACATTTCTTGTTTTTCATCCAACTTCTAATTTAATGTAATAGAAATATGTTTAATCTCAACTTTTAAAAACAAGTCTTAATTGAATTTTTGTAGACTATCAGTCTATTGTACATTAGGTTATAATGTACAATCCTTCACTTGTTTAAAAGCCAGCCATCAAACTGGGCAAGGTGGCACATGTCTGTAATCCCAGGTACTGAGGAAGCAGAGAGAGAAAAAAATCACAGTCAAGGCTAGCCCAGGCAAAAGTTAGCATGGGCCCTTATCTGAAAAGCAAACTAAAAGCAAACGCTGGGAGCATGGCTCAAGATTGCTTGCCTAGGAAGAATGAAGTCCTGAGTTTAATCCCCCAGGACCACAAAAAGGAAAAAACCAAACCAAACCAAAAAGACCTGGCCATCGAGCACCTTTGGTCTACTTCTCTGTGAGTCACTGGTTCCCACCGAAGAATCATAGAAGGTTTACTTTTGAGCCTGGTCAGAAAATACCAAGTGGAGCATCATTGTCCAAGTTGGCTATGAAAATGTTAGCAGAAGTCTTTAAATTTGTACCAATTTAATTATAGAAATTGTAGAGCCATTAATCTACTTTTTTTCCTTGGTAGAGAGAGCCTTTCTATCTTTTTTGGTTTTGTGGGGGTTTTTTTGCAGTGCTGGGGGTGGAGACAGAGCCTTGCACACACTTGGCAAGCACTCTACACAGAGCTACAGCCCCAGCCCAAGCCTATTCCTCCCAGTGGTCATGATAAATTAATACATTTTTTCACTGGACACATTCATATCTTTTATAAGTTAGTCTTTATAATGTTTAGGAATAATGTTGATATAATATTGTATTTTTAACAATTTAAATTGTAAGTAAAAATAAAAAGTAATATACGGGGTGACAGTTCATAGGCAGCAATCATTCTTTCATTTCTTTTCTACAAATATTTATATATGTTTTTTGGTACCTTTCAAAACAAGGGTACTTGGAAGCAGTCTTTTTTTGGGGGGGTGGGGGCAGTACCAAAGTTTGAACTAAGAGTTTTGCTCTTGCTAGGTAAGCAATCTACTAGCTGAGCCACACTCCTAGCTCTTTTTGCTTTTTTAGGTTTTTTTTTTTTTTTTTTTTTTAGATAGGGTCTCACTTTTTGCCTACACTGGCCTAGGACCTCGATCCTCCTATCTCTGCCTCCTGAGTAGCTGGGATTACAGGCATGAGCCACCATGTCTGGCCTAGAGGTAGTCTTTTTGATTGGGAAAGTCATTAGAAAGATCCTCTCATTAAAGTGACATGGGACATATATTTATCTGTTATTCTTGGGAAAAGCAACACTACAGCAGTAATCCAAATGCAAAGATTTCAGAGATAGAAAGTCTTTGGTCTAAATGAGTCTTTCTGGCCATGGTGCAGATAGGAGGCCTGGAGTCTCACTGTGGGACGCAGGCAGGTCCTTCCTCTTCTGCACGGAGAGGGAGGCAGGGCCCCTGAGATGCAATGGACGTCCACCTGAGTCTGTAGGAATTGGCGGGGAGGGGTCTTGGATGAGACCCAAAGAGGGCACTGAGGCACAGGAGGTCAATGGCCCAGTGGAGCCCTGGATCTGGGGACTCTGGATTGTCCACCCTTTTACTGTTCTACTCATACCCAGGCCACTGTCTCTGGAAACTCTCACTGTGCTATCTGCCTGACCACATGTGATCGTAGAGACCAAGAGGATGATCGAAGGACCACAGGGACAGGGACACTGTGTCAGAGGCGATGACTGCAGTCTTGTGAAATCCACCCTCAACTGATCCCCTATGTCTTCCTGGTCACACATCCATTAACCGCTCACTGTACCAGGAAAGCCTGAGAAAGGTTTCCAGCCAGAGTGAACTGTCAACAACAGGAACCAGAGTGGAAAGG